AAAAAAACGGTTACTGCGCCGAAGTAATCCAAGTGGTCTCTCTCCTGAGTTTTAACCTTTTAACTACAGAGTTTTATTAATTTACATTTTCCGATATATACAAATTTTATAAATGACAAAAGTAAATTTTATGCAATGGAACTGTCGCGGACTTTTAAGAAATATTGATGATGTAAATCATTTCATGGATGAGCTTCGGCCGATAGCTTTTTCTCTTCAAGAAACTCATCTTCATGACCGCTCTCCTCATATTTTAAGACGTCACCGGGTCTTTAGGAAAGACCGTCTTAGTGACACTCCCTCTGGTGGCGTGGCAGTGGTTGTACAGGGTGGGGTTGCCTGCTCTGAGGTCCCACTCTGCACACCACTTGAAGCAGTGGCAGTGCGCCTTCTTTTAGACCGCCTCATAACTCTAGCATCACTTTATTTACCACCTAACATTCCATTACATCTTAGTGAATTGCAGGATCTTGTAGGTCAACTCCCACAACCCTTTATGATTCTAGGGGATTTTAATGCCCATCACCCCCTATGGGGCAGTATTCGTCAAGACTCTCGTGGAGGTGTAGTTGAACGTTTTTTATTGACATCTGGGCTATGTCTTCTTAATGGGAGAGAGCCAACATTTTTCAGTGCAACTCACACCACATTTATATCCATAGATCTGTCGATCTCATCCCCCTCATCGTTTCCTTGCTTTACATGGAATGTTCTCAACAACCCTTTTGGCAGTGATCACCTTCCGATTGTTTTAGAGAGCGTTGTTCAGCTGCCCTCACTTTTGAAACCTATCTTTAGGTGGAAGTTAGATAAAGCTGACTGGTCACTTTTTGGGTTACATTCCACCTTGGACCCTTCTCTGCTTTCTTCTATGTCACCCGAAGATGCTACGCTGTATATTACTGAGCAGATACTAAATGCTGCTGAGGTGTCTATTCCACGAACCTCTGGTAATGTGCCAAAAAAAATGCAAACCATGGTGGAACAAGGAGTGTGCCACAACCTTAGCGGATCAAAACAGGGCTTGGGGCAAACTTCGCAGATATCCCACATCATGTAATCTCGCAGAATTCAGGCAGCGGAAAGCTAAAGCCCGTTGGACCAGGGAGCGGTCAAAATGGAAATCCTGGATGAAGTATGTTTCTTCTATAAATAGTTTTGTGCCTGCCAAGGAGGTTTGGGATAGATACAGGAAAATAAATGGAGATTATAGGTGTTTTGCAATTCCTACTTTTGATGCCCCTTCTTCATCTTTAGTTGACATCGGCAACATCCTTGGTGAACATTTTTATAACACATCCAGCTCGGCAAACTACAGTGATTCGTTCAGTAGATTTAAATCTCGTGCAGAGCGACAAAACATCTCCATGTCTGGAGGAGACTCTAAGCCTTATAACCAGCCTTTTACGCTGTGTGAACTTGAAATGGCACTTGACATAACGAGGGTTTCTGCTCCAGGGCCCGACGCAGTTCCTTATGAAATGCCTCGTCGCCTTTCTCCTGAGTCCCTGAAAAGTCTTCTCTTGTTCTTCAATTTATTGTGGGAAAAAGCCTGCTTTCCCCATGCCTGGAAGCATGCACATGGCATACCGCTCCTAAAGAAACAGAAAGACCCTTCACTACCACCACCTTACCGTCCCATTGCTCTGACGAGCTGTGTCAGGAAAACATTTGAAAGGCTTATAAACAGGCGGTTAGTATACATATTAGAAAGGCAAAAGGTCCTTGACAAAAATCAGTGCGGGTTTCGCCGAGGTCGATCTACTCTCGATAATTTGGTTCGCCTGCAAACCGTTATACGCGAGGAATTTGTGAACAAGCATGCACTGTGTTGCAGTGTTTTTTTACTTAGACAAGGCGTATGATACCACTTGGAGATATGGTATCCTGAAAGACTTGTATGCTTGCAATATCCGTGGCCCCGCAGGGGGCACCTGTGAAAGCAGGTGTTTGGAGAGTGGCGTCTCCACGGACCCCGAGCCATGCGGGTTCGCCCGCCCACGTCTGACTGTGCGTGACTTTCCCGTGTCTGGGGAAAAGGGCATCCTGGTGGTTGAGCCAAGCCCGGGGTAGGTTTGGACCCTTCGGGGCCCCCCGGGCGAGGCAATACGTATGCATCTCATTCAAAGAAAACTATTTGTCCTTCTATTCGCTTTGCAGTCGAACGTCATAATCTGTGGTTTGAGAAACTGCCTTTATGTTAGATTCAGTTGCCATCCTGCCGTGGAATGATTGTTTTGTCATGTAGAGCTGTTATTGTACTTGTTTTTCTTGTCTCATTCTATGGCCATTGGATCTGCATATAAAATAAACATACAGAGTCCAGTCAAGTCCTCATTGTGCATGGTTTCCTCAGAACTGCCTATTTATACCTGTTGTTACTAATGACAACCTGTGAGTACTCATATTAACGCAGAACATATGTCTGATAAGGCCAGAACAATCCAGAACACAAGACTGGCAACTTCAGAGTAATGTTGACTAAAGAAAAACTGTCAGAATGAGCTGTGACGCATGAGCGAAAGATTCTGTAATGTATATATAGTTTCTTCTCAAAAGCATATGTGCTGGTGGGCATGAGTTAACGTAAGAAAGCAGCTGTTTTAGCTTACTGTCGCATACTAAAATGCAAGCAGCCTAGGGCTGAGTACTTTTTCACATTTTCAGCAACATGACTAGTACATAGGGTCCCTGAAGGTTTCCCACAGACTTCTTAGAGTGCTCACTGAGTATGTGTAGGATACCTACAGTCTCCCACACAGTGTCCCGCTTGTCTCATAAAGCCCATGGTCCTGATCACATGGCGTGAATTACCTAAAGCCATCGACACAATGTCCCATAGAAACTAGTACTATACCCGCAGGATGTGTCGGTTACAAAAAGTAACCCGCACAGCCTCCCACATGTCTCGTAGACCCACAGCCCTATCCCCACATGTCTCGTAGACCCACAGCCCTATCCCCACAGGCTGTGTGGGTTACAGAAAGCAACCCACAGAGTTTCCCACATGTCCCATAGACCCACAGCCCCATCCCCACAAGGATTTTGGGAGTCCTACAGAGACCCACAGGTGTCCCATAGAGCTATGTAGGACCCCACACAAATTCTCTGTGGGTGCTCTGTGGGCATTTGGACCGGGGGCACTGCTTTGAGTTTTGTTTTCTACCTCAACGAGGAGGTCTCCAGCAAGTTTTTTTGCCTTGTAATTCTTTCCAATCGTCTGCTCTAGGACCTTAGAGACAAGGAAAGGTGACATCTTTGATAACGGTAGAGAGTCGTTCGCAGCATGAAGTACAAGAAATCGTGAAAAGGTGTCGGGTTCTTTGGCTTTTTCAAAAGTAGGGGGAGCGGGGCGAACCGTTTTGGGGGGTCGCTCTGCTCGGGGTTTAGAAGAGAGGGGAGCCATAAAAAGGCAAAGGGTGTTCAGAATCTGTGGCGCGCCGCCCACCACGGAGCCCAACGAGGGAATAGGTGACTCCCCATAACAAATATGGCTTTGCTGGAAGCATTACTCTATTAGCGCTACCCAGAAACTATAACCAAGTGTGGATCTGGATGAGAGTATCTGTCACCACCCAAGGTTAGCCCTTGCCGCCAAAGAAGTTGAAAATGAAAGAAGAGAAATGAGAAGAGTGAAAAAGAGGAGGAGACAAGGGTGAAAGAAGGGAGGGGATAGTAGAAGGAGTGGCGACTAGACTGAATCATCCTGGCCGGGCCTTACCAGGACTCCCGTCTATGAGAAGCAGGGGCCGAAGTGGTGTACATATATATATATCTATATTACACATATTATCAGATACCATATTTCAAATTTGCACTGTAATGACTAAGTGTCAGTGAAGCCCATGTGTTCACAATATTCATAAAATACTACAAGAATTCACGTTTCAGAGAAGTGTTGCATAAAGTTGAGTGAGGGGGGTATAAGAGAACATTGAAAGCATGCACACAAGTATGCATCAAAGTATGGCATTCAAATGGGGAATGGGTGTCCAAGTGTGTTGCCTCACTGCAGCTTGGAGAATGAGAAGGGAAAGCATGCATTGCAGAAGCCAGGGATTCTGGGCTCAAAATCCTCTCCCAATATTAAAAGCATAAATAGATTATACAGCAGAATTTTTTCTCAAAATGAGCCAAGTCCACAAACCGTAACTAAGCCAATTTTTGCTAAAATTTGGAAAACGTGTGGGTGTGCATCGTTCCCAAAAATTGCAGCAAGCTGAAATCAGTCATAATATGCAAGGAAAACCATGGTGCAGGTGGCTGCATTATAGGACTAGTTAAAAGCTAATTTTATAAGCAAACATTCTCACGTTATCTCAGTTTCGCTTCACATAAGTTTGGCCCTTAGAAAAAAAAAAAAAAAACTCCTCAAATATGCAGGTTGGTAGACATATGCATGTCTACCAACCTGGAAAACCTGGAATTTTCAGGGAATTTCAAATCATCTGGAAAAGTCTGGGAGTTATCAGGAAAACCGTCTGAAAGGTGGTTAAATAAGGGAAAATGACCATTGAAAGTGGCACGGCGGTGCAGAATGAAGTGCAACGGTTGCACATCGGCACACCTATATGCTAAATAATGTTGCTGAAATGCCATCCTTCGACCCACAAACTGTCAGGGAAAAACCTGAAACAGTCAGGGAATTTAAATTCAGTAATTTGATAAACACCCTGATGGAAGCGCAACGGCATTAGGAGGAATTGGTGACCAAGTGTGTTAACGTGCCACAGCACTGGACATGTGGAGGGAAAGCTTGCACTGGAGAAGCAAGGGATTCTGGGCTACATCCACCTACCATTGAAAGTATAAATATAAATGGAAGCTCAATGGCATTTAAAGAGAAGGATCTGTGGTCAAGTGTGTTAATGCATCAAAGCTCGGAGGACCTGGGGCAAACAATATCAGTACACAAATTCCCCAAGATGCAACCGAAACACTAAAACTGGGAATTGCTAGAGAATTTACGACATCTTGAAAAGTCAGAATACGTAATCGGGAAAACCACCAAGCAGCTAGCTGAAGTCGGGAAAAACAGCCAGTTTAAGTGGCATGGTGGCATGCAACGAAGCACCACGGTGCATCGGCATACCCGCACTGAACATAATGTAAAATACCAAGCAAGTGCCCACTCAAACTTTGGAGATAATTGCAAAAAAAGCGGATGGGCCCCTCTCCGCTCATCAGTTTTACATATAAATGTACTCTCCGTATTTTCTCAGATCCTACAAATTTGGGAATGGGCGCTTAGTGTGGTGTGGGCGGATGCACGGTATTCTACCGTAGTCAGCGAAAACTTGGAAAAGTCAGAGAATTTGAAAGAAGCAATTCAGAAGGCACCCTGAACAAGCAGACAAATTAAAAATAAAACTGGTAACCTATTAAGACTGCAGCCCAGCCTGCATCAGTTAATTTCCAGAAGATTGGGAACCTTACAAACAAACGAAGAGTTCTCGACATCCACTCGCACTGCCTTCCTCAAAAGTGCTGAAACAGCGACCATTTCGAGGGAAGAAAACTCCCCAACTGCAATATGGGGAGCACCACAAAATGCTGCATCCTCAACTTCGAGTACCTCCACAATTAAACCGACTTCCTGTGCACTGTTAAGCCTGTAAGAAAAAATCGAACGAATAATGCCGAACTTTTCGCCTTGAAGAACTACAACAGTGTCATCGCTTCTTTGAGGACGTGAGTATTGAGCTGAATGGTACACAACTCCTCCAGCGATGAATCTTAAGAAGACTGAAAGACATGAAGGAACTGTACCAAGGGCAGTGATAATGCATCGTTTTTCGGCATTACTGAACTTGGACGGCTGTGCTTGGCCCAAAAGAGTTACGCCAGAGACTGTGTCCCCCGAGTGGCACCTTTTCTCATCCTTGAAAAATGCAAGGGATCTCTTCATTACATCCGTTCCTTTAGTTAAGACATAAAAATTTACAGACTGTTTAAGTATAGCTTTGTGTAACACCTGCATAGCTACTCCACGGTTGCCTTTGATAGATTTAACCAAAACGCCATTGTACGACTCAAAGCAGAAGGCCGAATGGGTCCACAAAGGCCCCCAACGAAAAACATCCTTTGCCAAGTGCTGGAGTAAGTGGACGTTGAAAACCATGTTGATGTCCCCATATAGCATATTGTATTTGATCACAAATTCCGTTAACAAAATTTGGGCCATGTTGATGTCGTCCCCTGTAAGTGTGTCCTGAATTAGGCAAAAAATGGAGTGTACAAGAAGAGCGAGGTGCCCAAGGAAGGGTTCTGGCAAAATGCCATAGAGGACCGGCATTGAATAATACAGAAGCCACGACCGGTACTCTTGTGCCTTCCAAAGCTTTCGTTCACTGACCCCCCGGGGAAACCTGCCGAGCTTAGAAGGAGGCTTGATGGCCTTCATTCTGCGATCTACTAGCCTCACGGTTGCCGGATCTCCAAGATAAAACCCCCCTCCGGTGTTGCTGTCGAACCACAAGCTCAAAAGTGTACGAGACACGCCGAGGAGGACGGCATGCATGTAGTCTGGAACAAAGGATTCAATAACGTTAAAAAATGGCAAGTTGAGCAATGCAGACGGACCCTTAAACCCTCTGCAAATAACACCATGTGATGCAGCTTCACGCATGTCACGGATTGCACTTTTCGATTGTCTGTCATCAGCTACCTCTGCAGAGACCGTATAGCGAATTGACCTGTTAACGAGAGATCCAGGGTGCAGGCACCAACCGCAACCAAAATAAGAATTGAATTGCATCATATTTTGTAACAAAGGACGGGCCACCGAATCCACACTGCAGCATACTGCGAAAGCCTTACTTAGCACCTCAGTGCCGTTGCGCTTCCATACAAACCCCTGATCACACAGAACCTTACACTGTTGCACAAAGCTTTTCATGTACAGCTCCATTGGAGGGTGATTCTTTCCGAACCACACACTAGAAAGGATGACATTCCTAAACCTCTCAAAGACCGGGAGTTCATTTATAATAAGTTGAAGTGGCCAGATAGAGCAATTTTTACTTTTAAAGACTGGGCACCCATCTGTGTTAAAGGTAAAAGAAATGTTATTGGGATTTCCGAGAACTGAGAATTTTTTACATAAGTCCTTGTACATATGTCCATCACATATGTCAGAAAATGTGTTGTTTGGTCAATTAAACCTTGTAGTTAAGAAGCTGTGATCAGAAAAACTCTCTAGAACACTTTTCAGCTGAGACGCTAATGAGGCTGTCAAAAAAAAACCAGATCCATCAGATTTTCTAACGTCAAACAACTTTTTACAAATCCGGCACTTCTGTATGTCCTTCTGAACAGTGGAGGTCAATTCAACAGAACAAGATAAACAATAATAAACGAGATCGAAATTCTTACAGAAGTTTAGAGACTTCTCAAACATATAGAGGGAGCTAGGCACAACCGGCCTTCCAAACAAGGTGTTTACCAGAAACAAGGCGTCCTTCAACCCAGTCATTGAAAGCCCGCTGCGGATTACAAACAAAATAATCAAAATGAGGGCTTCCGCTTTAGTCACCCCCCCACTACAAACACGTTCATCATTGGATGGCACACTTCCTTCCATTCCACAGACAGGCTCCTCATCGGAGGCGTCATGGAATGTGTCGTCTTCACTTGACTCTTCTGAATCGAAGTCGTCTTCTGAAGATTCAGACAAGGAGGAATCCTGTGCAACAAAAATGACATGAATTTATAAAGCCAAATATAGCACAATTTCACAAAATCAACAAACAGTCCTTGCTTTAGAGGACACTGCTATACCAGAAATGTGCAATCAAACAGAGCAATAGACGATTAGCAAAATTCCCAAGCACCGAGGAGAGTGCAGTGAATGTAGCCACACGCACCCCAGAAATCTTTGCAGGTGCCTTTTAAGAAGGGAGAGGCATGTTCAATAGTTCAGTTTGCTGGTTTCTCTAAAAAAAAATCTGGAAATGAAGATGCATTTTCAGCCACTTTCTTTTGAAAATGCTCCAACTTTTACTAATTAATACCTCATTACCTAATTAGGTCAGAAACACTACTACAGCAAGTTTAACTGCTTTCTGTTTATACACGCACTGTTTTTCTTGGTTTCAAATTCAACATAAACCAGCCATAAATAAGAAATGTTACAAAAAGCCTTTTTGTTTGGGTTTTAACTTTTTAACTACACTCACCGTTGTGTTGTCCACCGGGTCATCTGGCTGGGTGCTGGAGTACTCAGTTTCCTGAGACTGAAAACAAAAACTTCCAATGTAAGCAGGGTGCACATATAACCTCCATGTACATCATATAAATCTCCAATGAAGACTTTCTTGGATAACAACATAAATTGAGAGCACGAAACTTTCCAGAATGAATTTACGGCTGACAAAGATATCCGAATTTCAGTATTAATGCATGTCTGCCCATGTGTTTGACACCGTGTCTAACATATCAGGGAATATATTGTGTGCCAATAACTGAGCAAGTGAAAATATCAAAGGGGCACTAAGAGGTTATTGAGAGTGTCTATCCATAGTGATAACTCATTCTATTTAATCTAAGCATCCTAAAAATCTAAAGATCACAACCATGCCGAGCCTATTTTCCTATTAAGAATGCGATCAGTTTGCGAAATGCCCCTTTTTTTTAATTTTTGCTGAACACAAAGGGGTGGTGCCAGTGCATTTGAACAAAGCTGAATGACAAAGGTGCTAGTCAGCCAATCATGAGTGATGGTTCCCTCGCAGATTGACCCAAACAGGAAGTCAACACGCAGGCATATTAGAGCGTTAATGTTCCACAGACCATAAGAAATTCCAGACGGAACCCACTGGCACGAGAAAGAAAATGTCTTCCACAAGTGTTGCAAGTGAATTTTTCGGGAAGCAGACGAGCAGACACATCGCTCCCGCACAAAAAGGCAAGGGGAAACTTAGTTTGCAGCAGTGTCTAAATAGCGAACACATGTTAACTTGCACCCCCCTACTACATAATACAACAAAAACATGCATCTTAAAAAAAAGTCTTCAGTGCCCTTTTAATCACTTCATGAGTTAATTATAAAAGGTTGCTTTTAGCCTTCAAAAATATTACAAAGCAATATGGTTACCATTTTAGTGATATGAGAAGGCTATTGTGGACTGCTTGTGCGTAGATTTAGTAGGATATGATGTGATGCGTAGATTTTCTGTGTGATGCATAGATTCAGTAGGAGTGATTTGGCGTGCGTTTCCACAAACACCCTGTATAACCACCACCATGAATGCTGCGGGGACGCATGGAATCACTAGAGCATAGTTATGCAGGTGGCCACATTTGCCCTCACTCTAAATGCGCCAAGAGTTGATGACCAAGATGCCGAGCATCAACAAAATGTGGATGCAAGGGGAACCAATTCCTGTTATGTGATGCCAAAGCCACTTTTGCTGCCTATATTTGCAGGGTCAGTAGGGTCCGACTCATCTGGGGCTCTCAGTATTAACAAGATACCACTTTTATCATCAGTGCCCAAAGGTGCACTTTTAAATGAGCCAATTCTGAAAAATACGTACTAGCAGTGGGGCTTGGTTAGAGGTCCCAGGTTCCTGGGAAGCAGATGAGGGTTCCTGGAATAAAAAAAAGTGATTGCTTCACTAAGGGAATCTATTCCATGAAATAGCAAGCACCTTGGTACACACAATATTTGAGGTATCTTGAAAAACTCAAGTGCAATTGAATCCTTCCCACAGTATGGGTTGCCGGGCTTTGCCTGTGCATGCTCTTTGTTCCGGGGGTCTCCAGTTGACGCCGGACTGCCGACTAGAAAAGCATGGCTTTAATATACAGAGCACTCCACTGCGGTCGTCAAATGTGATTGGGAGTGGGATCATGCTCAGTGCCACAAGCCATTCTTCCTTGCAGTGTCTTTTACCTTGAATCTTCTACTTTCGATTGTTGCAATAAGTGCACCAGGCACGTAGCAGGGGGGAAAGGCGGGGGAGGCAGGCTCCCCCCCCCCCCCCCCCCCATCTATAGCAAAATTTTCAGTTTTGCTGGGACCTCCTCTCTCCCATCTTTGGCGGTTTACCATGAGCGGGATCCCGCCCTCAAAATAAAATCCTGCCTGCGTGCCTGAAGAGCGCACTTGTCTTGCTAGCAGTGGCGTAACGAGGGTCAGCGGCACCTGCGGCGGTAGTACGCCGCAACACCCTCCGCTCTCGCGTGGCCCGCTGCGACAGCCCCCCGAGCGCTGCACCCAGGGCGGCCGACACCCCCCGTTCCCCCTTGTGACGCCACTGCTTGCTAGAGCTGTTTAATGATCTACTTTTCAATAAAAATCAATGTTAAGTTTTCTCCTCAAATATTTGTTCTCATTTCTATTTTTTTTTTCTTGCATGAAAACAAAAATCGTTACAAATTATTCTTTTTTTGTTTTGGAGTCTAACCAGAACGGAACATTTTTGTATGAAATGAAACTGAAACCAAACAACAAAAATCTTTTTGTTCCAACACCCTGCCTGTCCATATCACAAGAGTGACCAGACTACAACGAACTTCTAAGACCCTAAACAACAGCAGCCCCCAAGCGCGACAACGGTAGAAGGGGGCGAGCACAACAAAGAACCTTGCTGCATCTATTATCGACCTCACCTAATCAGCTTAGCTTAAGAAAAGCGTGACTGGTGTAGCGCTCAACTGTAAAAGAAGTACGCTTTTGCTATTCAGCAAGTCTGTGTGGTGATCCAAAGTGCAATGCCACTCGCCTCCTCACTCGGCTAAAGTGTTTTAAGCATAAAATATATCTTCATATTTCATGTGACCTTGGCTGCTGCGTGAAAAGCAAGGGGACATCAACACATCAAGAAAATGTACTCGTTCCTCTTGATCGAAAGATCTGCATTATCACAAAATGCGCAAAACAGTTGGCAGTGCAGGTGTGCTTGACATGCCTACCAGCATTGGGTAGCTTGCATGAGGTGCTAGCACTGGTGCCACAGGACGCATGTCAGGTAAAATGCATACTAATCTCCAATGTGAGTTTGCAGCCTCATCAGAGCTGCCAAGGGTTTGGCAAGCTAGGCTACTATATGAGGGGAGTATGCAGGCAGCCGAGACAACTGCTTCCTGCTCTCAGCGTGAAACGCCACTCCACTTTTAGAAAATGGTGCTTGGTTGTGGGCGTTTCAGACGCTGGGTCAAGGCGTGCATCTGTTTAGCCATAGTGAGGGTGACCGTAGCAGACGGACTTTACTATGCAGAAGGATCATATTTATTTATTTATTTATTTATTATACCCTCAGGGCCGAAGCATTTATTATACCCTCAGGGCCGAGGCAGTGTTGTGACGTCAAGTAGCAAACACTTTCACGGTGCATTTATTTCAATAGATGCAATGTGAACAGGAAGTGGCAAAAAAATGTTCGAGGACATCTAAGCACTTATGAGTTGCAAAAGCATGAATGTCATTCTTTCGCTCCCTTAGTTTGTCTGCGGTGTAGTAGCGTGGGCAGTCACGTTTCAGTACTGCCAAAGTAGCGGCCAACGGTCGAGCGCATGCTCTTGTGAGCCACGCTGAAATTGATTGTACAACCTCCTCCGAGTTCGCCCGAAAGGGCTCTGTGGCCAGGCAGCCAGGCCCGCACCGCTGCACCTCGCCGGGCCGCTGCAAGCACTGCGCCGCCATACAGAGGGCTTCTCAGGTGGTGGTTTTTGCAACCACGCCGCACGAGAGCCAATGGGTGCCTCGTCCCTTGATGATGTGCACCAGCCAATAAGAGAGTAATCCATCAGAGGTTGGCTTCATTTCGCTCCTTTTATAAAGGTGAATTTATCTGCCATTTTGCGTGGCTTTTTGCACGGCTTCAAAGCTGGGATGCTTCAGGTTGTGGTTTCGCTTCGCTCCATTGGGACAGGGGAATTTAGGAGCTGTTTGGCGCAGCTGACGACGTCGGCTCGCTCCATCGGACAGTTAATGCTTTTGCAATAATAAAGATTCAAGGCTGAGGTCTGGTTTTCTCGAGTGCCTAATATCTTGACAAGTCTTACATTAAAAGAACATTTTTTTTTTATCAGACCGGCTTGTTTTTTGTTTTGTTTTTTGTGAGAAGATGGGGCGAAAGTATGAATGTACCAAAGGTTTACTTTTGAATTAACCAACCGAAAAAATACATACCAGCAGTGGTGCTTGGTTAGGGGTCCCAGGTACCTGGGAGAGAGGTGAGCTGTCCTGGAATAAAATCGTAACAGCACCTCATTAACCAGAGCGCTGGCTAGGCCAATTTTCGGCCAATTTCGTCATAATCTTTTTTGGGCACGAGCATTTGAACCTCTTGGATAATGTCTACTTTCTTTTGGCCATTTGTATGACTATCAGAGATAGAAGTACTTTGCGATAAAGAGTAACTGCCACATTCATTTGGACAAAGTCTGAAAATTGGTTTATGTCCTCATTGAACCATGCAAACCAAACTTGCACCGGAGGTGTCCAGGGATCCGTGTCATGGCGACCAGAAGTCGCTTAATAAAAACTTGCACAGCTATACACGCTTGCAGGCGTGGCCTTTGGGCACCGCTAAAACCAATGAATAAGCTTCATTTCAGAGTAGCGAAACTAAGGTATGGTGACTCGGCAGTTACTAGTGAAGCAGAGTAGCGGCAGCCATTTTGTTACCTAAGCTTTAGAGGCGTTAGAGTAGCTGCACTAAGTATGGTGGCTAGAGAGATGCTAGTGAAGCAGAGTAGTGGCGAGCATTTGGTTGCCTGGCGGTAAACAGAAAAGAGCATCGATGCATAAAAGCGTACTCCCTTTAGTAACAGTAGGCGCCGCCACCTCGCTTGTTGGGGTGTGCATGGCATGCCCCGAAGCGCACCCCAGCTAGTAAGACGGTGGCACCAACAGGCCATGCTTGTAAGTGTGTACACCAAAGTAGTTTTAGTAATGTTGGCTGGTGCATACACTCGAAGAAAACCAGGCATGCTAATTTCATAAGTGAGAAAATAATATTGAAAGCATGGCCGGGACACTCAAAATCAGGCAATTTAGTATAAAAATGTTCTTGGCTAAGGAACCGCACTGGAATGCTTGACAGGAGCACCCTTGTAGGGGGCTTTAAAGGGACTGTCCAACTATTTTCTCACTTTCGCCATATACTGTATAGAAAGAATCCTTGAGACTCATAATAAGCGAAAAGAGTGTTAGTGCTTCTATCTGCATACTAGCAGAAGTTGAAAAAAAATTAAGAAAAAATATTACTTTTCACCCCCTCAACTCGCATGCCCGATCAAGCGGCCACCCGATCTCGTGACATGCTTTTATGCCCCCCTGTTCGTCACAGCCATGCGCTAGGTTTGGCAATGTAAAGGACACGTGCTCTGCCAGGACATTGTTAGATTTTGGTTATTTCCCTCATCGCAATGATTGGACATAAGCTCTAACCCATATCTCTACACAGACTATCGTTGTTCCAGAGCCTGAGCAGTGTAATGACGCACTGCTCATGCCCAACCCACAAGATGCATTCGGCTGGGGGCCCTTGGGGCTGACGCCATGGCTCCACCACACCCCATTTACAGGGCAGTGGAAGCTACATGCACATGATCGTAGCTTTGAAGCGGGCTTTTCTGGAGCGAGTGCTTGCTTTAGGGGGAAACATTTCTAAGCAAGGAGTGTGGGCTAGCTCGCGCTTATGGCCTTCGCTGTGCTGACACCTGAAGGGTGAACAAGATACCCTGTGACTACGCAACCCTATGGCCCTGGACCGCGTAACCAAGTTTCGCGAAGGCAAGAAGAAAATATATGTTTTACTCTTGAGCTTATACAGCAACAACGAAACTTCTGGCTCAGTGCATTACATTGGACTATACTTGCAGAATGTATGGAAAAGCGAACTGAAAATGTTGCATATCCCCCTTAAGGCTCGGCACCCCCTACTTCGTCTCACCCTAGCATGGGCTAACCGGAGAAGCCGTGCTAGCGCGAGACAGCCTGACCCCGACTGACGCTCGCGCCGCACGACTGCAGTGCAGCCGCCCAGGCGTCATTCAAAACGATTATCTCCCTCTTCAGGCACGTGCGGTCAACAATAGGTCATGCTAAGATGAGCCGAACAATAAACCTTTCCATACCAGCGTCTCAGGGAGCATTCATTGCCGTGTCTGTGCATTTCGCACGAGCATTCTCTGGCACGCCCCAGTGTTAAGCACGCGCTCGGTGGTCTGATCGAGCCCATGTGGACTGTGACATTTGTAAACAGCGGCATCGTCTGTAGACGATTCCAATGTTTACAAATGTCACAGTCCAGACGTGCTGACTAACAGTCCAGCCCGTGCGTGTTCGTCGCTTGGAAAAGCGAGCAGAGCACGCGCCATACGCACGAACGCTGCAAATGGCACCGACTTAAGCTCTTTATCAGAAAGATCGATAGACGCTGACGTAAAGCGTCTAACAATGTGCAAGGCAAGCGCGTGCAGCTCGTGTAACTATACTCGCTGCTAGCCCTTGGTAATTGGGAAATTTACCAAATCGTCTATTCATATCTTCCGCAAACGATTCTAACTTACGGGTTCATCGGTTTCATCCGCAGTTCCATCGTAGTTTTTCTTCATTTGCTTGCGCCAGGCAGTTGCTTTCGGTAGCACAAATTCATTTCCAGGCTCCAAGTACTGCTTCCGCTTCGTGCCAGACATGTTGACCCGATCAAAGCCTTTAGCTACTCAAATGAAACAAAGAGACACCAGCAATCATCCACAGACCCGGTGACAACAACTGGCACCATGTGCGTACGCCGGATCGGATCGGATTGGATTGGATAACATATGAGACAATTTCTTCTTGGCGGTAAAATTGGTAAAATGCAGGCATTCCAAGCCAGCAAAAGCAGCAAATATTATTTAAACAACCTAGAGCGATAATTTAATCGAAAAATTAAGTATCACAAAATATTTAGTCGACAAAATGGACATTCAGAATACGGGAAGGCATTTACTTCATCGTACAATGTTTTAGCGAACGAAAACGAAACCAGACCAAGTCGTCTGCTTCTTGCGCAGGAGTTGCGTGGACATCAGATCGACGCTGAGCTCCGATTGGCTTTGACTGAAAGATTGTAGGCAGACCTCATTTCTAGGTACCTCGAGGTCTACCCACTATTATCTTTTAATCAGCCAACAAGAGCTCGGCGTTCTGACATCATCGCAACCACTGTACAAGTAGAAGACAAGCTTGCACTCCGCACTGGCGAATGACTCTGTGCTAGTAGCCTGGCTTGCCGAACCCTTGGCGGTGAACCCTAGGCGTGGCACCCTCGAACTTCATATTGCATTTATTTACCACGAGGGATATCAAAAGGTGGTCTGTCTTGATGACCGCTTAAGCGGACGAATGACCGCTTAAACGGTCATTCGCGGAAACGTCCATTCGCTCAAAGGATTTCTATTCGCTAAATAGTCGTTCGTTAAAACACCATTCGCTCATATAGTTATGTTATGCACCTCAGTACGCACGAGCTACGTGATCACAAGGGCATGCTAGAGTTGGAAATAGTACGTAACGCATGTTACAATCGAATGCGCCGATAAGTTTATTAAATAATCAATAAAACTATCTGATCAGGTTTCATCTGTTTACTTTCAAATAATTTCTAACGATTATTTCTTAAGTATTCCTGCATGAGCCTTAGCTCCTAGGTTCCGGAGAATGGCCATGGAGATTTCACGCCCTCCATCTCGACATCAAAGCTTCAGCATAATTAAGTATGATCAATCGACTGATTTCTTATCCAAATGAGCTTATTAACAGAAAACGTATTACTGTATGGTGTGCGTTGAGTAGATGGCCTGTATATTTTACTTTATCGGGCGCCATGGTCCCTGTGTGCTCTCCGGCATACGTACCAGGCGGCTCTGCTAGTACTTACATCTTCGCGCTGCGGTCCTACGGTACCCAAAGAGGAAAGACACCGACAGCGTGATAAGCGAACATGTTACTGTGACTTGTGGAGATGTCTACCGAATTCCGAGGATAGGATATATGTGTACAAAAGTGTTTGTCCAGAGCGATCCGATATTACAACCCTAGCTGAGCATGTCGCATTTGATATCTTATTTGTCAATGCAGAATGCTGGGCTAATTGGGATGTCAAGGGCATGGTAGCGCTTTAAGACGAGGACGAAGAAGGGACTAGAAAATTGGGTTGTGTGTATGTTTATACAGCTCGAGCTTGGTCTGCCTCAACGGACGCGACGGGTCTCCCAGCTGTAGATGAGCAATTTAGCCAGTGCAGTATAACCGCTAGCCTGGGGTCTTTAACGTGCACCACGCAGTAGTGATACACGACCGCACGCCGGTACAATGCTCATATCCAGATCGAAACGGCCGGAGGCGGGGATTCAAACCAGGATCCCTGGGTTCTGTAGCGCGAACTTTCGCTCCACGTGCTCCGAGCTGGTGTACGCTAGCCCACTCTGCCCACTCTGCCACAAGCGCTGGCTGCAACTATTCATTCAGTTGCAGTTAGCGCTCGTGCGTGTCTAGGTCTCTTCTTCGTCCTCGTCTAAAAGCGCTACCATGCGCCCTCCATATGTTGACAAGAAAGCACTTTCGAAATCATAGACAGCTACATAAAACGTATAGCTACTTATTTTTGTAAAGCCGGAACCTAAAGCATGTATTTGTAGACATATAGGGAACAGTAATTGGCTCGGTGCCAATCAGTTCATTAAACAGCGTTTCATCGACAAATCGTTTCGTCGACACGAGCAAGCATTCGATTATTTGATGGGCACACCGCAGCATCATTTTCCGCTTCGCCCGATTGGTATATAGCCTCTGGGTTGCTTGCCGTACCTTGGCGGTTCCGAAGAGCTGTTCAATATAATCTCCTTGATTCAATCGAATTCTCCGGGGCTTCACTCTTGGCTTAGCTGCTCGGGCTCATATATAACCTAATAATGCCTTTTTTTTTTTTTAACGTGTTTAGGGCTTGTTACATTTTGCGGCGCCTGGTACCAGCATAATATCCATATGCTAGTTGTAGGCGCTCGTTTAGGCGTTTAGGTGTTCTTCTGTTTCCTTGACACACGTGGTTACTGTTCGTTGTTGTTCCTCGTGCGGTGCCGGCGTGGCAGTGTCCGGGTATAGAACCCAGACCGGCGGATTTTTTGGGTCGCGCACCAGTCACCTAGCTGTGTTTGGAGATTTGTGTTTGTCCTTTGTCCCTCTTGTGTTCCTTCTCCAAGGATCATTTTCGTCATTCCTGTCCAGTTCGCTCACGAAAAGTGGACAAAATCGCATTTCCAGAATAGGCCCCTGGCTCAGGACCAAAACGACACAAGCCTTTTTTGTTGCGACGCGTAGTTTTCGCAATATCGAATTTGTCCACCTTTCGTGAAACACCCTGTAACCATCTCCGTAAGCCAGTTTTGGATTTTCTGAATATTTGTGCAATTCACAACATACGCTGGTTCAACGTAAAATTAAAAATGGTATTGTAATTAATAAAATTTTCACTGGCACTACACCGTGACTAGCATCAACGCTGCTACTGGCCGGTCTAGCGGTCTAGTCAGAAAACGCATCGGATTCGAAGTCAAATCTAAATCCAAGGACGCCATTTTGTTTTATGTCGTTTTTCTTTTATTCGCGTCGCTGTTGTCACCTTGTCTCTGCTGCCCGAAAATGCCGAACTTTATTCTTGTTCACTATGATGACGACATTTCCGAGGTAGTTCCGATCGGCTATGTAAAGAACAAGGAAGCAGAGAATGTCAGGAAGCACGGAAAATATAAAATCGCGTGGTGTGTAGACATCAGCTTGAAGAATCAAGAACCACCGGAAGGTGCGAAGTATTACAAGGGAGTAGTGCTGCAGTTGATTGGTGAGTTGCTCTGTTTTATTTCTTCATTCTTGCTATAGCATTGTGCCACAGTGCTTGTTGGTCCACGCCAATCTTTTGCGTGCACCTTCCTCACGCTAACTGGGCTGTTTTTGTCTAGGGTTGGATCTGTTGTAGCTAGGGTGTCTTCATGTGCGTTCCTAGTAGCCATTGTCGGCAGAAACGTGGAAGCGCTTTTTTTTTTTTTTTCTCTCTCTCTTCTTTCCTCTGTTGCGGGAACGCTGAATTTCGCCGGTTAACAACGTACACAGTCGGCTCTCTCCGATCACTGCCACTGCCCACCTGAAAGTACGGGGGAAAGGAGAAGGAAAGGGAGGAAGGGGGGGGGGGGGCGCGCGCGGCGGCGGGTGGGTGGTGGGGGGGGGGGGAGCTAGAAACTTCTTAGAAAAGGACAAGTCTGTTGGAGAGATCGGTGGCCGAGTGTGTCAAGGTCTATTCACACGAGGCTTCTTGTTGGCGAATTCTGTGTCGCAAAACTAGATTTCGGGCAACAAATTCTCTGTCTGAACGCAACCGAAAAAGTGGCGCGGCTCCGAAAAAAGTGGCGCGTGTTCCTCGCTTCTAGAGCAATTTTTCGCTGAAACCTCACCGACGCCTGTCAATCACCCGAAAGAGAAACGTGGACGCTGCCAATGGCCGCCCGACTTCGCTATTACGTCTGACCTTCGAGCAGGAGCGAGCTTTTGGAGGAGTTTGATTTTTGGCCGGTTCCGTATCAGAGCCGAAGCCAAAAGAAAACAAACAAACATGGTGAGCGACAAGTGGAGAAGCGGTGCGTTCGGGCGACGAGTCTTGGTCTTACTCGGTTGCAGGTGTGTGAACGGCGCCTAGAGTACGGGTTGGTTAAAAAGTTATAGGCAAAGTAAAATTACGAAAACAAGCAAAAAATAACCTCCTTCAAGGCATGCCTGGTTGCTTGAGTGGCCGCAAACTAGAGGTAAGCTCAGCGAGCGCTCACGGCTGCCGCACTGCGTGTCGACAACTCGAGAGGGTGCCACTAAAGCATATTTTGAATAGGCTGTATGAAGTGGGCGGCCAGGGCGGTTTGCATTGCATTTGTTGCGCGATTAAAGACTAATTCGGCATGACACTTCATTGGCCACAAACGACAGCAAACACGGGGTAAAGATCAGTTCAGAACGGAAGGCACTTCGCGCTGCCATACGGCCAAACCACAATCCAAACCTGCTCGCTGACAGCCTGTGGAACGCTCGGAACCGGTCGGATCCTCCAGCCCGTATATGACCGCAGCTCCGCCGCAAACATCTGGGACCTTTCTTTGCTCGCCGCTCGTCGGTGCCTCATCCCACTACCCCTTTCTAGTATGCGCCGCCTTCTCCACCACTTGGTGGCGGGTATGTCGACGGGGCATTTCTTGTTTCCGTACTTTATAAACTGCATTTGTTTCTTTTCTGATCTAAAATACTGAACAAAAACCACTTTCGTAGATAATTGAAGCGCTTTGCGCCACTTATATTTTGTATTTCGACCAAAAAGAAGCTTTTAGGAGCTCTGATTAGTAGTAAGCCTGGAACCAAAGACTAAACATATCGCGCGCTTTAAGCACCGCGGGTGGCCCCCGTAGGTGGAGGAGGTTTCCGCGTCATCCGGTTAAAGTATTGTGCACTGATATTTAGTTACTCTCTTCGTGCCGGCTGGCTTGCCCGAGCCACAAGAGATGTGCAAACCGCAAAAAAGGTAGACACTAAATATAATTGCAGGCCCCTTCAAGCAACTGTTGCTTGTATGTGAGACAGGGTGTATATGAACAGTTGGCTGCAAAATGTTTTCGGGACATGAGAGTGCCAGCTGGAACG